TCAGCAACATCTCTTAGAAGGTCAGAAGGGAAATGCGACTCCTCCCTCCCAACAACGAGCGAACGCGAGCCCCCACCCCCTCCCCTTTACAACGTCTCTGAAATTAGGAAAATCAACTATCAAGAAATTTGTTCTCAGCCCAAATACGACCACCCCTCTCCCAGCGACCACATAGACCGGGAGACGGGCAAGAGAATCGTATTTGCCGCTCCGCGCGGCGGCGATGGGCGCGCGTTTTCTCAACTCGTGTTAACTGTCGATTGGAGCACCGGACTTCATGTAGACCCCGTCATCGTAGACATTCATGACTATTTTCGGTTCTGAATTGCCTGTTGTCGCCATCTACTACCTGGAACCATCGTCATTTGCGCGGTGCGACGTCGCACGCGACGCCACCAGCGCGGTGAATTACGATTCTCTCGTCACATACTCCATAGGAATCTCCCTTAGGGGATCCCCAACAGCGATGTGCCCTGTCGTGAAATATAGTGCATAACATCGCAGCGAGTCGGGGCGTGGTAAGTGGAAGGCATCGGCTGCGGTTTCAGCTGCTGGCCTGATGAGAACCATAATCGGGGAAGAAACGCATGCACCGCCCTCCATTTAATCCACATCCCTGACACGCCCCCTCTTGGCGCAACGAGATGCGTTGTACGGGGGATACTGATTTGTCATTGTCTCATATAGAAGTGCTCAGAGATGCCGTTTGCGATTACCGAGTGGGTGGGGCTGAGGAATGACATCATTGGCAAGTCGTCGTGTCCTGGATCCGCCTAACAGGCACACCCAGACGGTGCCTTCAAGGACGCATTCTGCGACAAGAGGATGGGTGGAGACATGAGTGAAGTGATAGTGACTCACAACCACTACGCCTCCTTCATTGATGCGCTTGTCCTTCCAATCCTTTATACTTATAATATGATAACGAGAAAGGGCGCGCCAATAAGGAATGTACAACGGTCGTAAGTCCTCCGCCTAAGCGATTATTGGGGAATGTGTCTAGAAACCATAACTAGTTGTTTCTCTTCAAGCTTTGCAAATGCCACAGCAATTTTTTGAAGTAACGACGAGCCCTACCTACTGCAGAGACCTCGCTCAATAGACAGAGCGATCATCTCCTCACACAAAGGAACACAGGCAAAAACGTGTTAAAAATCTCCTTCTTAGCTGATAAATTATCCAGGTAATCCTATATGCTTAGCCCGAAGTTATTTGTGAGGGTGATTATTTCCGTATAAAGGGGGCAGGGTACGCATCGCATAGGATGTTATGTTGCACTTCGAGTCGCTTCAAATTGCGCGTGAGGACGCCGACACGCACGTGTATGTCTGAGGCTCCGCCGGCGCCTGGACTCCAGCCCCATTCGCTCTCACCGATAACGAGGCACTAAATACATACACTTGTATCAAATAGTACAGTTTAAGGGAAACGCCTAAGAGAATAAGTTAGGATACGCGAGCGCAGCAATGCCTTTAATTGACTAAAAGTTTCAGGAAGAACACGGTCCGTAGCGCTAGTAAACTCGCACAAACTCGAAGGGGTCATTGTTTTTTACTCAGAGCGTTCTCGACGGGTTCTCTCACTTTTGAGTTATATGCTCATACAAATCCACATATTGATCCACTATGACCACTCATCGGAAATTGATCATTTTCGCAGGGTTCCCTCAGAAGAATTTCTTTCCCTATTTCTATGAGACCATTTATACCAAAGCGATCAGATTCAATAACTTTACGGCACATTTATCGTGAAAAGCGTATGAGTAGGGCCAACATCCTGGCGCATTCGTGCCACGTACAGACAGACCGTTCGGTCAAGGACATGCTGATCGATTTCAAATGGGCCATAGCAACATACTTCCGTGCAAAGCGTAAAAGTATACCTGCGCATTGCGAAGATCTTTCGCTAGTGAAGTTTTGTCAACACTGTACTCAGGAGCACTACCAGTAAGTGCCGACGATACGGAAGGAGCCAATGTAGACGTCGCCGGTGCGTTCTCCACCATACATCTCATTGGAGAACCTTGGAAAATTAAGTGGTAGAGAGGAGGACGGAAGATCAAACAAACAAGCAAATAAACAATTAAACAAACAAACGACAAGAACAACAAGAACAACAACAACAACAAAATTACCCAAAAAATAAAAGGATTAACAAAGTCAAAATAAAGTGTTCGGGTTCTGTGTGGCCTTACCACAGTGCGCGGATGCAGACAATCTTATTTCCAACGAGTTCGCCTGCACGATATGGGTCAAACAAAAGCTCGGTGCGGTCACGGACAAGGTTTTCATTTGAGTTGAGTGGTTCGATTTGTGAAACGTTTAGTCGGGTCAGCGCCATGGACAAGTCTACGTGGGTTTTGAACTCTGACAGTACGGAGCTCTCTTACCTGGCACGCTAACACCGTTAAATCGTACGCTGATCACATGCTCCTTGGCTTCTTGTGGAGTGAATGAAACCTGCAGATCAAATGAGTAAGGGATAAACGAATGGAATTTATTATCAACCAAGAACTCACCTTGAATTTTGCTTGGCCCTCAGCCTGAACAAAGTTCGGAACATTTCTGTTGTCTACGGACACGATGATTTCCATGTTGCCAGCGCCAGCTCGAGCAGCATCTTTAAAGATGAGAAATGGAATTGCCATTTTTTTCTGTCTCCTGATTGGTCCAAAATGCAGTTTTTTTATGCACCAAACTTCTGCAATGGATGCGCGCGTTTGCGATGCGGCGCGAATCGGTAAACAGAGGCACTGAAACGCACCCACTATCCCAAAACTCTTCCACGCGTGCAGTCGCAAAGTGTTCATTCTATTCTCAACGGAGATCGAACACAGCAAAAACTACACAAATTTCAACTGAAGAAAGGTCTGACGCAATCCGGTGACAGGTGGGCGGGAGGGGACTTTCTGCACTCTTCAGTTTCGCTACTTCCTGTCGACGTCTAGAGCAGTTAAATGGAGACCTGTGAAGTCTTGCGAAGCCACAAATGATACCAGTCAAAGTTTGTAGCGACCAACAGCTGTTTTATAGAATACCTGTCAACCCTTGTAAAGTAACGAAATGCCATACAAATACCAGTTATCATACTGGCTCGACAGCTTGCTCCAGCTTCACAAGAGTTCACAGGTTTCACCAGAATGAGACTTGTAAACCGCAAGAAGTGAAGCAGCGAAGGTGCAAGTGCCCGTTCCCGTCACCGAACTGCGCCGAAAAGCCCTAATTAGCGTTTTGACAAACTTGAACTGAATCAAAAACGAAGCTAAGAAGGTTATTTTGATCAGGACTCGTTCTAAGTTGGATAATCCCCAGCGCAGGGTCGTAGTTGGTAGTCGGACTGCGGGGAGAGCCGTATTTTGTCCGAGAAAATATTTTTTGTTGTTGATTTTTCTTGTTTTACGGGCGCTGTTTACAACTTTGACGGAATTCTAGAGTGGGGTCGTATGTATGTGCTCGCCATTGGGAAAGGGTGGGGGGAGGGTCGTATCTGCTTCGAGAGAAATTCGCCGCGTTACGGAAAAAAAGTCCGACTCTTCCGCGGTTTTTCTCATTTTGCATGTGCTGTATTCCCGCCCTCTTGCTTGACTACAAACTTTTTGGAGAAAAAAAAATGGAAAAAAAACTTTGGAAATTGTGGTAAGATGCTAGGGAAAGTCAGAGGAGTTGCAGCATGGGGATGATGTAGCAGAGGACGGATTCGGGGGAAGGGGTCGTGTTTTCAAAAATTCCTCAGCCGATGGACGGCAGGACCTGCCCTGATTGAGAAAGGTCGCGCATGTTTCTTACTGCACAACTTCTCCAAAAATTACGATTAATCCCATACCTATAGCGAATGTGCAGGGTTTTCCAACGATTGCCTGGTCACATTGACTGAGACGAGCCATTCTAGCGTCATAGGCCTTGGCAGTAAACGGTGAACCAGCGATTGGTTCGCCCATCATCGAGATATCAACCTTGAAGTGAAAATCGACGTATTTTTGCAAAAAAAAACCCCACTTTTGCAAGAAGCCTTGAAAATTCCTAACCTGATGGTTTCCTACACATTTCGGTGTGTATGTAGCGATGTAGAGCGTCTCATCTTGTCGGCTTCGTGAAATCTCGACGGGAAGGTCGTTGCCTTGAGGATCGCGAACTCGTACCTCGGGTTGCGCGTCCGACGCTGAAAAAACCACAATGGACGCGGCAAACTCAACAATACGCGGAGCAAATAAAATTTCTTCTACAACAGTACGAACCACTTGTTTGAATTTTGATCTCGGTAATTTCATCGACTGGAACTCGCTCAAGTCCTGTACCAGACGCTGACGCTTGTGCAGCAGACACGAGCTGACAGATGAATGGTGATCCTAAACAATAATATTAGAAAAAAAGACTAACTTTCTGACTTACAACTTGCAATAGTAAGCAGGCGGTATTTGGTGAAAATCCTTCAAGGAAAAAAGTGAATGCAGATTTAGTAGATGAAAGGGAAATTCGGTTACTTAACTAATAAAGGAAAAAGTAATTACTAGAATATTTTACAGCAAATTTACGAATGTGGCTTAGATGAACAAATTCCTAGGATTTTTACCTATACTGTACCTTTTACTGGGAGACGCAACTTTCTGCCGTTTTCGAAGCATTTGTGAGGTACAATTTAGAGTTAATGGTGCTTAATTTGACCGCCATTGGCGAAAGGACTTTTGGTCACACCCTCACAAAATGGGTGCCAGCGGGATGGGTGAAACAGAGATGTCAGTGGGACCGCAGCCCCCCAACCTTTCAGAACCCGCCCACCACCTTACCAAACTCCGCCAACTCCCTTATGAATTTCCAAACACATTTTACGAATTTTGAAAAAAAACCATCGTTTACCGGCAAGAGGGGGGAGGTGTATTGTGCACGTGAAACGGGAAAATCAAGAACCAGAAAATGCTCGGTAAAACCCCATGGGCAACCGTAGCAGCTTGAAAAAAATTCTACTAAAGCTTGCCAAAAAATATCTACATAAATACAGGCACCCTCCCTACAGACCAAAAGTACGCCCCGCAATGCGGATTCTCACGAACGATGCTGTACCCAGTGGTCCAAGGGTGCTGTCCAACATCAATTTCAATCTAATGCACGTTTGACTGCTCTCCGACCTCCCAGTCCAATGTTGCCTATACACGTACATCTTTGGCCTCATGTTGCTTCTATACTGGGGCATTTTGGTTTAAAGGAATTACATACTCCTACAAGCAGAAGTGCGCTCCAGTACATTCTTTTGGTCTCAACGTGCACTTACCAGGTACGGGCTCGTTGTTGAAGCGAAATTGTAATGGTGTGATCGGCACTCTCCTTCGGTACGAATGAAATGTCGTAACGATGCTGACCCAGCGCATGAGCCATAGATGGTACGCGACCATCGTTCACAGCCACTTCCAGATTACCAACGCCAGCTTCGGATGCATCCACTGAAAAATTGATGAAAATTGACTTTTATGGTTACTAAATGTGTAGAACCTTAGCAAATACGCGTGCAGTCGCAGCGCAACATACAGTCCTCATCTATTTGTGGACTGTCGGAGGCGGTGCGTGAGCAGCAGCCCCATTCGAGTCCGCGTTTGACTCCTTGCTATACCATGGCGATCGCGGTTGAGATCGATGTAAGGAAGTAAAAACAACCAATGATGGAAAACGCCGCACCGTGCACAAGACCTGATTCGACCTCACAAGTGCGGTGATAAGTTTATGAAGCGCATGGACCAATAAAACATCCATTTCAAATGGACGAAATGGAAGTTTTGCTTCTTTTTAGTCGCGGGCAAGTGGATGTGGAATCAGAATGCGATAATTGGGGTGGACAATTACAACCACTTTCCGCGCTGACCGTGGTTGCGGCGAGCACGTTGAAAACTGCACCTCTTTGCCCAGTGCTGCGCCCTTCGTGTTTACCATCGTATAGAAGGAGGTTGCGACATAAAAAAACACGCAGGCATGGCTCAGGTATGACGCCTCATGCAAATCCGCCGTTAAGTGCGAATTTAGGCGGGATGCTGCGCTGCTCTATGGGGTAAGCCCGAAATCGGTACAGGCGGTCACTACAGGCCTTCCTCTCATGTTTAACGCAATAGCAATCACGCCATCATGCAAGGGTAAGAGGCCTGACACAGGTTGGAGACGCCAGCATGCACGAAGCGTAAGTGCTTCCGGCGAAAAAATGCAAAAAATCTTGGTACCGCTTCTATGCATATTCCAGACGGTCTCTACAGTCTTAATTCAACGTTGACCAGCGAAGCAAGTAAACAGTAACCCAAGCATTGATTTAGCGCTCACGAACTGATTGGGTTGTCATTCAACGAGAGGTGATCCAAAGTTATTTTTATTCCAAACTTTCTTGGACAAGGGGCGGAACTGTCCACATTTTTCAACTGGGATTTTCCGACCGCGGACTCGCACCAGATCAAAGTTCCGGTAGATCCTCGTGAAAGTTGATATGCGCAACCTCAACCCGAAAACTTCCACATCCGTCATATCAACCTTGCGTTTCGCACCCAGTTCTTCTCGCATTTCGATATCTGCTTAGTCTTTCTGACTGCTTGCAAAAAAGTAGGTATCAATAGGGACAAGAATTCCTTGCCCAATTTCAAGAGAAGCATGCGGTCAGATCAAGAAAATTTGAAATTTAGACAATGCTTCCGAGTTTTTCTGCGGTACTTATAGTTAAAATGCTATAATCTATACTATTGGTAGTTTTTGACGCCATAACTACTACGAGTGAAAAGTAAGATGCCAGGTGGTGTGGGTCGTCTAGCAACTCGTCCATCATGAGTCGATAACCGGTTTATCCTGCACTGTACTGGCACTTTGACAAGGAATCACAGCTAAACTCGTTTCCCCCTACGATGCGCAGCTTAGGCGACAAACTGGTCGCCTGGTGGTCTTCCACTGCGAGCAAAGGAATAGAATTGTTAAAATTACCTGTAAAGTAGACCGGCTTGTCCAGAAGACCCTTAGGAATAGCTCCAACTTTGATCTTTGTTGGGTCATAGGCTCGGCATGTGAACGGGATGGCAGTCACCGGGACGCCACCGTATTTCACCTCGATGTCATGGTCGCCTGGAATGAGGTTCATTCATAATCAGCGCTAAATATAACCCAATAAATCTCTTTACTTACCGACCACCTGTGGTGTGAAGTTCACTTGCATGACTCCGGGTTCGATTTCTATGATTTCAGTACCAATTTGGTTCTTCTTATTATCTGAAATTCTAATTTTTAGGAGATCCAAAAATGCATTTTTAATAGAACGATTAAAATATTTTCTGTCATTCTCAATACATTCACACACTCTCTCTCACAGGGATTTGGGACAACGTACAATGGCCGAACTTACCTGGGAATTTTCACGCCTATACTAAAACTGAAATAAAGACAAACGATTAAAATTACAGTTTGAAAAACAAACAAGCATGTAAACTGAAGAAATCAGACTTAAGGCAAGGGCATCACAAGACAGACGCTAGGCAATAGTATCGTACCAGTAATAATAATCTCTAGCTGATCGTGTCCGGCCACCTCGACGATAATACTTGACGGTTGACCAACTCGCGACAATGAAGGGATTTTCGTGACCGACGTCTTCGACACGGATTTATGCTTGCTCTAAAAATCAATGAGGCGTTACCAGTTGAATGATGGATATGAAAGAATGAGGAAAATCGGTCGACCGGACAGCCAACCTCGTATTGCAACCCAACAAAATGAGGTATTCTTGGCGAAGAAAGCACTTCGCAGAACATTTACGCATTTTCAAATTGTTCGACATGGTTGTTATACTGCTCAGAAAACCATAGTAGTACTACCCTTAGCGTTAAAAGAACATGATCATGGGGGAGGGCATATCCACCCACCTGAAGGCGCCCACGGGCGGAGGCGGTATAAGGAGACGGGCAAGAGAATCGTAATTTGACGCTCCGCCGCGCGCGGCGATGGGCGCGACGTTTTCTTAATTCGTGTTAGCCTGTCGATTGGAGCACCGGATTTCACGTGGCTACGAAACTACAGACATTTATGATTATTTCGGTTCTACATTGCCTGTTGTCGCCATCTACGACCTGGAACCATCGTCATTTGCGGGCGCGACGTCGCACGCGACGCCCATCAGCGCGGCGAATTATGATTCTCTTGTCACGCACCCGGCGGTATAATGGCAGGTGGTGTCGCTTACCACGCGTTTTCAGGGACTGAATCTCAAATCGGCCCCCATATGAGCGAACAAAGCCTTCTACACCTCTAGGACCAGTCATTTGGTCCAGAACCTTCTGGGAGAATAATAATTTGTACATCGGGTGGCTTCAGCAAGTCAGAGGCTAAATCACCTTCACAATGCCACAACGACTCTGAGTGGAAGTAATAAGCGTGACGCATCCCAAACATGGAATGATCAGTGCAAAATGCGTTATCCATTTTTTATACGGCTCAGAATAATGGGGGTCCGAGATAGGCTACACTTCAGGGAATACCTTCCAGGCTCTCGAGTATTAGTTTCCGCCGTTGATCAATCCCTTTTTTGGGGATGCGCCACGAATTCTACTTCTATTTGGAACCGTAGAAGCTATTGGATGCGATATGGCCTATACAAAGACTCATGGAGACCGTAGTCGGTGTCCTTATCCTCCTAGACGCTACCAATATTCCGCCTCCGGAGTGCAGAAGGCTTAGGTTGGCATAAGCGGGAGCCGATCCAGGCAGTCTATATCCTATATAAGAGCATTCAAGAAAATCGCCGAAATTTTGAGACTTGGGCTTTTTCCGGACTGGGGATAATAACCAAACAGACGAATTTCCCCGAATATGTACCAGTGCCCTAGAAGGCATAGAAAATAGCCTCAAACGCTCAAAATTCTGGTCAGTCTCTCGAACCTTTCATTATAGAACATAAAGGATAAAGGATAAAGTCTTCGCCGTTGATCAATCCCTTTGTGGGATGCGGCACGCATTCTACTTCCATTCAGAATCGTAGTGGCTTATTGAATGCGATGTGGCCTATACAATGACTTGCGGTGGCCAGCCGATGTACAAGTCAGTGTTTTATCCTCCCAGACGAATCTGGTACCAATTTACCGTCCCCGGAGGGTAGAAGGCTTGGTTGGCCTGGGCGGGTGTCGACCCGGGATTCGAACCCGGCGCCGCGCGAGTGGTAAGCGCGCCACTTGTCACTACACCACCTCCGCCTCATTATAGAACATAGATACCATGATTTCATACTACAGTTTTAATGGCTTAGACCATAGCGATGAGAAATTGTAAATCTTCACTCAATATAAATTTAGAAATTCAGGAAACAACAGAGGGGGTCCTATCTAAGGAGGTGGTTCAGTTTCTGTTTCGAGTTACAAACCCCATTCAGACCATGAACCCATCTCATAAATTTGAGCAGCCCAACTTTCAAAGTAATAAACAGGCCGAAAAATGGAACCATCAGAGCTAGAAGTAGTACATTACTGGTTAAATCACAATGATGATTAACTGTAAGTTTTCATCCGATAGAATTTTGGGAATTCAGAAAAGTTTAGAAAGAGGTCCTCCCTAAGGAAGTGGTTCAGTTTCCGTTTCAAGTTTGCATCCCCCATTCAGACTATTAACCCATCTCATAATTTTGAGCAACTCAACTTTCAAAGTAGTAAATAGGCCGAAAAATGGAACTATCTGAACTAAACGTAGTACATTCGTGGTTAACGGAAATCAATGAAAAACTTGTGGTCAAAGTTTAACAGGCCTTGTTGGGACAGTGACAAGGCTTCGGAACAGCAAAGAGGCGGTTTTAGTTGGCAGAAATATGAGAGATGATGGACTGCCTTGCTTACACTGTGATTTATGAATGATAGAAAAGGAAGAAAAACAAGCAGAACACAAGCACAAAGAATGCAAACAGGGTTGTATTAGCCGGCTGATGATAGGACATGACACCGAAACAACCACCCACGCACATCACTCTGTGGAACGGGTTCATGCCCTTATCGGGGCAGCTGCCACAATAGAGTATGACTAGAACAATTCCTTGAGAGGCATAGGCACGACAATTTGGTACTTGGTCTAGAATGCCAGCACGGTGCTGTACAGAGGGAAAATAGCGAAAAAAAACGAAGTGAAACGGTCAAAAACTTTCAAAGAAAAGCCTTCATTTC